TCTAAACTAGGCTTTTAAAAAAGCTTTTGATGTTGTTGGGTTTGGTTGTTTGTGTTTTTGTGGGTTTTTTAATTAAATAAAATAGGAAATCTTTGTTTCTCTTTTGACAGAAATTCAAGTAAGGTCAGGAAGATAAAATGTTTGGTGGTTCCTATAGTTCTAATCCAGAGTTATTGAGTCATATCTCCTATTTTCTTTAAACATCTGATTTATTATTTTGGATACTTAAGTATTGTCAGTTCAGTATGTTCCACTGAACTTGCAGCCAAATGTAGATAGTTTGATAAATTGTACGTGTCTGTCTTTAAACCTTGTGATGACTAAATCTTTATTTGATGCTTTTTCTCTCTCCTTTTCTTTAAGTGATTGCAGTTGTAAAAAATGTAGTGTCTGTGTTCCCCTAGAACAGCTGAAAAGCCATTTGGCTATGTTAAAGTTTCAACAAATCATATTTAGATTGCTGACATTGTTTTCATGGAAACCAAATAAATTGGTGCCACTTCCTGGGTTTAAAAGATGTCTTCATCTGTTGTGTATTTCATGTAGTCTTTTTTTTTTTTTTTTTCCTTCCCCAGAAATATTTTTGTGGTTACTTTGCTTTAGACACTAACTGGTGACATTTTAGACAGTAATCTTTCTCTGTGCCATGTTTTATTTATAAAAGATAACTAATCTGGTTTACTTCAGAAGACCACATGATCAGCTACAACACACTATTGTCTTATAGGTAAATGACCAAGATGTGCTGTAATTCTGTCTTTGTAGAAAGAGTGCATTACATGAAACTTGAGGTATTTCATTGTACAGGTGTGGGCAAGACTAGCTAAAATAAATGCAGCGTTGTAAGGGAAGCTGTTGTTGTAACATCAAATACCTTGATAAGAATATGATTTAGTTGTATTTTCTTGTAAATCACTTGCATGTACACGATGAAATCACTTGGTTTGGCCTTTTTTGGTAAGGATCACAAGACTCCAGGAGGCACACAAGCTGTTTTGAATCAAACCTTTCTGAAAATGGAATACTTGACAGTTATGAATAAAGTTATTTAACAGTCAACTTCCTGTGGTTTACATGCATTTCTGAATCAGGAGGAGGCTGAAGGGCAGCAGCTGAGTTGTGTATACTCCATCTGAACAAAAAGGGGCATCTTCTATAAGCAAAGTGTTTGCTTAAAGTCTTCTATTCTGATATGTTTTAATACTATATTAAAAGAGCAGAAGTGCAGTCACCTTACACTCTAAGATCATTGAAGGTCACGTATAGGCCATTCATTCTGTTGTGTTGGTGTATGTTCAAGAAGATTGCTTTATTGCAGTATGTCAGCACGCATATGAGAAAGGCACTCAAACCTGAGTTTGACTTTGTCACTTCTATTGGCATCTTTGGTCTGGGTGTTAAGTAGAAGGACGCGAGCAGTGGGTGAGTAAGGCTCAATGGTATGGTTTCTTCAGAAGTTTGCAGTTCAGAACTGCTCAACTGTAAAAATGACTTTAAAGGGGTCACCTGTATTTAAAAAATTCACCTGTGGCTAATTTAAGACCCTGACATCACTATATTTTTTTAACCAGATTTCTAATTTAAATTTCCATCGTATGTGCTCACAGAACACGTGTGTGAAGACAACAGGAATGTAATGCAGAATTATAGAGTTTTTTTAATGGGGGCAGATCCTGCCGTTCCTCAGTCTCTTACTGATTTTGTCCTTGGCGTGGCTCCTGTGTGGCATGATGGCAGCAGATCGACTGATGCAACAGCCACGTGGCAGGGGCTGGACGTGGTGAGCCACACTGGAGTTAGTGGGGCAGAATGGGGAAACCCAGTTTCTTTTTTCTAGTCATCTCGGGTAAACCAAAGAGTTTACAGTTTGTCTAAAGGGAAATTTTAGAATGCGACAACTGTCTGTTGAATAAAGCCATTTAAATATAGCCACTGTCATTGATTTACAGAGTGAAATACCTAGTTTTGTATCTAATATCAAGAAAAAGCAGCCTAACACAGAAGTTATCTTTGGCGCTGCTGTCACACAGCGTTGTAAATAGATCATTTTCTTACTCAGTTTTAGCAACTGCTCACATTGAGGCTTTCATTGCATGTTGTGTGGTGGGTTTTTCAGTAGGTTTCTCTTCATTATGGCATAAAATACGTAGGTTCACCCCTTTAGAAAAGGATCGGAAGTCTTGCTTGGTTGCTTTGTAATGCCGTCTTTTTGAAGCTTGGTTAAAATGGGTCAAAACTCTTCAGTTCCACAGTAGTGCATTCTGATAACAATCTGTTAGTCGTGGTAGTTTGCTGCTGAAGAGTATCTGTAGTTAGCAGAGCTTGACCTGCGAATATGAAGATGTCCAGGTCAGATAGAAAATTAAGCCAGTGCCTTGACGAGTGCTGTAGGTGTATGATGTGGAGGGGTGTCCGGAATGTGATGGAAGAACAGATGATGAATTTGAAGCTATTGTAAGTTCTTGATGCCATGCAAATTGACAAAAGCCAATGATTGAACAACTTTTATCCTTAAATACAGAGTTGAGCCAGGTTGACGGCACTTGCTTGGTGTGTCATATTAGTTGTCTGAATAGATTTTCATAAGGGCAGAACCCAGTGACTGAGCCAAAGACGTGGAGGAGGGAAACTGGTATGTCACTGCTTTATTAACTGTATTGTACTTGTAACTGATTGCTTGTAGAGTTTAATCTCTTGAGTTTCAGGATGGCCACCTTGATATCTGTCTGCCATTGACTTTGATACGTGACAGCCTGGGAAGCTAAGCGGTGTTCTCGGTGTGCTTTCTGGCAGTTACCTGGCTGTGGGATGTGTGGCTCTAGAGCGTTGCTGTTGCTGCAGGCCCATGTGTTTTGCATTCATGTTTTCAGGAAATCCTCTCTTTGCGAAGCTGCTTCTGGGGGTGTTCTGTGACCTTTGCAGGCTGTGGCTTACTTGTCTGGTCCAACTGCTCAATCCATTGCAGTAGCAGTAAGCCCCAGGACTTAAAGGAGAAGTAGTAACTCATGCATTCCAGCACTGTGGAGTTAATGCCTCTTTAGAGAATAGGTTTGACATAAGCAGTATAAAAAAGAGCCTTCTAAGATTAAAATACATGTATGCATGCACACACAGCCACATGCGTACTTACAGCCTCTGAGGCTCAGGTATTCCAGAATAAGTACCTCCACTTTGTGTGTAGTCCTGTGGGGGAGGGAGGGTTGCCAGCTCCTACTAGGACTTAAAAAAGAAATTAAGTCTGACGTTAAACTTTATTTTGTCTTAACCTTCAGCTACAGACAGTGGTCTTAATACTTGGAAAGCCTGAATTCTGTTCCTGTTACTTCTGCTTGAGAAACTTGGCGGATTTGTGCATCAAGGTTGTGTATCTTTATTTTCTGTGAAATAGGAATGTTCTTCCCCGTACACTAGGATTGAGGCTCAAATGGATTTCTGAAGTGCTGAAAGAGACGTAGGTGTAAAATACCGCCGTCATTGCAAGTAGTTGCTGCTGTGTGCTGCCAGGCTTTAATATGGTTAGTGTTACTGCTGCAGTTTGTCACCCCGGAGAAAACCAGTAAAGTTAAGTAAAATAGAAGGTAAAATAAGGTAGAAGAGCTGTGTTGGACTCCTTCCCTGCAGGTGTGTCAAGCACAAGGCATGTTTCAACCAGAGTCCCAGTCTTGCCTAATTAAAAGTTGATGTTCAAATTGTGTACTTAAAGGTGCGGTATCTACTTGTATTATATAACTTTTTTTAGTACCTGGAAAACTTGCAAAGGTACCTGGCTTATGTGTCTGCTAGAACCCTTTTTGGACTGCTGTTTACCCGAGTTTACTGCTGCTTAGGTGACACGGTTTAATATTGAGGTTTGATATTCTTCCTAGATAAGTTTACAGAGTTCAAATTCAAGTGAGGGGAAGTCATTATCAGGGTGCAACTCCTGTCCTAATTCCCTTCTCTGGCTTAGATGTTGTCACCCCAGCCTTGGATGCTTCTTGAGTTTCTCATCAAGAAAATTCAGTCTGAATTCCAGCTCTTCCATCTGCAGAGTGAAAACACAGATGGTTTCTTTTCTGTATTTACTATAAAGTAAATAAGTTACAGCTTGGTAATCAAGAGTTTTCCAAAGGAAGCATGTTTCTGCTTCTGTCATGATGCTGAGAATCCTAAAAGGGTACTACTTTCCTTTGCAATAAATTCAATCAGTAACTCACCTAGTGCAAGTGAACTCAGGTTCAGCACCATCCTTGTAAGAGTTCTTCCTTAATCCCAGCAGCCTAACAGAGTTCTGGAGAGCTGACTGCAGTTTAGGCTTACAATAAAAAATTCTTAGTTCCACATTACTGGAGGGATTAAAAGCTACATTTATTATTTGCATGGATAGCGATGGATTGAATCCGGAAGATAACCTCTGTAGTAGATGTGGTAGCATGCAGCGTGGCAGTGCGGAGCTCTGCTCCTTACTTCCAGAGTAAGAAGCTCTTGTCCAACGTGGTCTCCGCTAGGAAGCTTTACCAGAATGCTTCATCTGTTGTGGTTTCTCATCCTCTATTCTGCTAGTCACTTGCTGTGCTTAGGAGAAGTACCTGTATGAATGGGATCGTAGGGCAATGCAGTTATAAATTGACTTATTTCCGGTGATTAATCCCTGTACCTGAATGCCTGTGTGCGCAGACTCTCCAAAGGGGCAGAATGATTGAATGTGTCTTTTCATAATGAAGGTGTAGTTGTCTCGTTGATACTCCCTGTGGATAACACTGTAGGATTTATTTAAGAATTCTAAACTTGGAAAGAATTTAACTATTATAAATGTGCCTACCTATGCTTTTAAGCTTAAATACTAACTTGCTTAAAAATAAAATATCAGTTGTGTTCTTAGGATAGCTGCTTAAAAAACAGTAGTGATTAAAGCTTACAACACTTAAATCTAGATTTCAGTAAATTAACTGGACCTCAGAATGTAAACTGTTGGGATCAAGTGTGCCACTTATTTAAATAACTGTTTGCTTTGTTTTTAGGGGGAATCTGTAAAGTATTTCTTGGACAACTTGGATAAACTTGGAGAACAAGTAAGTTCCCTTTTTTTTTTTTCAGTCTTGAGTTTTAAGTAGTCTTTGATCTCTGGGTTTTAAACAGATGAAATGTAATTAGTGTCTCGTCAGATAACTTTAGTTAACTTTGACTGTCTCATTATCTCAGCAGTTCATCACTGACAGGTCAAAACCAGAGGGCTATGCAAGGGCCAAGAAACTTTCTGGAAATAAAACTTCTGTTTGACAGTGGCAAAACATTGAAAGGACTTCGAAAATAGTACTGGGTGCTGTTCAAGGAAAATACTCACCTAATGCTGCTGCAGCTATGCAGAAGGGGATCAACAGTGAGAAAGGGACTGGTTCAGAATTGCTACAGTGGCAAGCTGCTAGTATCCCAAGGATCTGGGCATGAGGGAGAAAACACAATAACCATTCAAAATACTGGGAGATTTCTTAGGAGCTGTTGTATTTAGTTTCCGGTAGCCAGATGATGGCTGCAGGCTGAGCACTTGACTGCCAGTGCCCTTATTCGCAGACTGTTGCATCAGAACAGCCATTATCTGGTATAAAACATGGTAGGTCTTCGGTGCTTGCAGAACTTGAAAATACTTGAAAGGATTTTATTTGTGGTTGCCACCGTGGAAGGAATTTTAAATGAGTAATAATACTCGAGAGGGAATTTGTCAGAAATTCTAGGGATAAGCTCCTTGTTCTTGAAAGCTTTACTGAATAAACAGTACAGGCCAACTCACAGGACAGTTTGCTTTGTGCTCTTTTTTTCAATATTAAAGGTGTATATGGCTTTGCCTATTACACTAATTGATTTTTTTTTTATTTACTTGAAGAATTGCAATCACTCCTGAGCTTTCCGAGGACTTTGTGGTTTTATTCAGAGAACTTGAGACTAACTTCCTGAATAACAAAAGATTATACGTTCCTGTTTGAAAGATGGAATGAGTGTTGAACCTGCGACGTTCTCTTGCCTACATGTTGTCAGCTTTACTCAAAATCCCTTCACGTGTGCCCAGTGACGTTTGATAGTCATTGCTCTATTCATCTCATTGTTCTCCCTTTCTAACAATTTTTGGTAGAAAAGACCCAGGATAAGTTTAACAAATGAAGAGAGAAATCTCACTGCCCTTTAAAGTTGCTTCCTTCAGTCAGGCGAGGGGGTGGAAACACGTGTCTGTTGCTCAGTTTGGAGAGAACCATGGTACTGCTTCAGCAGTTCAACTCTCCTGCAGATTTAAGTGGTGCGGATTTTGGATGTGTAATAGCACTACAGTAAAGTGCAGGGTGGGGAGCCGGTGCTTCAGAGAGCTGCTTTGTAATTCGTGCCACAATGAAAAGCAGTGCCTTCGTCATGGGCAGCTTGAATAAAGGGACCCGAGAGTTCAAACTAAACAGTCTCTCTAGCTAGTTTCACTTTGGAGCTTACATAGTAAAGCAAAGTGATCCCTGGGTTTTTGGAACATTATGCTTGCTTCGTGATTTTTAAAATTGTTTTCTTAAAGGCTGCGGATCAAACTTGCCCAACTCCCTTGAACTTGGAATGCCAGTATTGGAATTGCCACGTAGTTGCGTGTTTGTTCTCCCCACCCCAGCTTATTACTGAATTAGACTTTCTGGACCGTGGTCTTACACATCTTTATAAAAACTCCAAGTCTGGTAACTGGCACTGTCAAAGATCATTCGCTAAGGGGAGACTAAAATTCCAACTCTGAAACCTAAATCACTCTGAAGTTGTGAGAAATGCTGGAAAAATGTAAGGAAGTTTCCATAACAAGTAAACAACAAAGCTTTAAACTTCAGTGTCAGCCAGCTGTTATAGATGCACTTTTTCAATAGCAGAAAGTCTTGGACCATATGTGAAAGTGTAATTCTAAGAATGAAGAAATCCCCAATACGGGTCTTGAATTTCAAGCTGTCGAAAGCTGACTAAGAAGAATTACTCTTCGTGTTAGCATCTGCATCCGTTGATGATGGCTGTTCACGTAACAGTCAAAAAACCAGTAAAACCCCACTTATCCTGCCTATTTAATTCCGGAGGGGGGAAAGGCAGACTGGAGAACGTCAGGGTGCAGCTGTCTCAGGTGCCCTCCCAGGCTGTACTACTGGGAAGAGGCTGCTGCCATCAGCTACCTAGTTCTTTTCCTATTCTGCTAATTGCACAGAATGTTTTGAAAAAGATGAGGCTGTGTGAGCTCGCTGGCGGGGTACACAGCTGATGGAAGTGGCTTTTTGGACTGGTACAAGCTGGATGCAAAAGATCCACGGCACAAACACAGCAAGTTGCTTAGGTTTTACTTTTCTGGCATAATTGATTTCCTTAAAAATTACTTAGTGGAGCAGCTCTCTTTTTTTTTTTCTAGAAGCAGTCATGCAGTGGGCACGAGAACATGAGAGGAACTGAGTGCCCGGAGTTAGAATGGGATATTACGGTGGTTACTGATTTGAGAAACCTGTTTCAGACCCCATCTGCTGCATTGCAGTGTTGGCAGCCAGCGTGTTTCCCAGCTCTGTGGGATGAGGGTGAATGAAGCATAAAGTAATCCAGAAGGAGAGTAACTGGCAGGAGGGATTGATGGTATACCTCTCAGGTTGTTTATGGATCATTGTCATGTGGCAAATGGAAAGCTTCAGTTCTCTGGGGTACATGTTTTGGTTTAATACTGGGTGTGTTTCCTGCTTTGGACTCCAGTTCTTTCCAAAATGCTTCAGTGTTAGCACATAAATATACATAAATATGTATGTTTATTCTAAGCCTTGTGCTCTTCCTCTGCAAGCTTTTCTCCCGCTTGCAAGTCAGCTGTGATCACCATGCCTGTGACTTGTAGCCTAATCAGCAAACTCTCCTTTATTTTTTTTATTTTTATTTTTAGGATTATCTTCCCTCGCAGCAAGATATACTGCTGGCACGAAGACCCACGAAAGGGATTCATGAGTACGACTTTGAAATAAAAAATGTTCCTTTCAAAATGGTTGATGTAGGTGGCCAAAGGTCAGAACGGAAACGTTGGTTCGAGTGCTTCGACAGTGTCACATCAATACTCTTCCTTGTTTCCTCAAGTGAATTTGACCAAGTGCTTATGGAGGATCGGCAAACGAATCGCCTTACAGAATCCCTGAACATTTTTGAAACAATAGTTAATAACCGGGTTTTCAGCAACGTCTCAATCATTCTCTTCTTAAATAAGACGGACTTGCTTGAGGAAAAAGTACAAAAAGTGAGCATCAAAGACTATTTTCCAGAGTTTGAAGGGGATCCCCACTGCTTAACAGATGTCCAAAAATTCCTGGTGGATTGTTTTCGTACTAAACGCCGGGACCAGCAGCAGAAGCCCCTCTACCACCACTTCACCACTGCTATTAACACAGAAAACATCCGGCTAGTTTTCCGTGATGTCAAGGATACCATCCTCCACGACAACCTCAAGCAGCTTATGTTACAGTGATGTGCAAAAAGACATTTTTATTTGAGTAACTTTTGTGTGTTGTTTTTTTTTTTTTAAACTAGAAGTTTACAGCAGGAGTAGAGAAATCCTGATCCTGTCAGACTTCTTGATATGTGGCTAAAAGCTGCTGCTGAACACATTATTGCCAATTTCTGCAGAAATTCAGGCTTAATCTCTTCCAGTGTAGCTTCAAGTTCACTCAAGTTCTAATTTTATAGCAGACCTATGTCTAAGTTACCTGTAAAGTGATCAATTTGACGTGTTAAGAATGTGTGTGTTATCCTAGAAAATTCATTCCACCTTCAGAATTCCAAGTCCAAACTTCAGTGAAATTGTTGCAATTGTTAGACTGTGGCAGTAATTTAAGGGAGGTAGAAACTTTTCACGTCTAACTTCGTTATGAAGACTGTGATACCATAGCTGACTTACGATTTCTCAGGTCTATTGTTGGTTAGAAATCCCATAAATCCCTTGCTGGAATAATCTATTTGAAGCCAGGATTCCTGGGTGTAACGCACTTCCTGTTTAAGTATAAATCTTTGCGTGGGGTTTGACTAGGAGATGCTTTAAAAATACTTCGATTGGGAGCCTTGGACATATCTGGCAGGAAGTACTGATGCAGGCAGAAGTCTAGTGACGAGGAATTAGTGAATGGCACAGCACACGGTTTCACTCTTGCATTGTATGTACGTCTTGGAGCCATGGCAAAGCACAGAGCACTATGATACGGTCCTCTTGAAATTCTGATGTGGGAAGGGGGAGCAAGCTAAACTTGTATTTCTTATCTTCACTAACCAGATGTTACGTGTAGGTACCTTACCTGTTCTTGAAGCGCTTTAATATAGCACTGGTTTATTTTTACTTTCTTCATGAGTTCTTACAGCGTGCCTCATCTTAATCAGGAAGCATTTGGTGACGGATAGAAGTACTTGCAAACCTAAGTGCCTCCTTGTGTTCTGTCCTCCTACGGTATTTTCAGTGGCCTTATGTGAGCATATGTGTTCCCAGCAGAGGCCTTGTGTAGCTGACACCGTGAAGATGAATGTTTTCTTCCGGGGAGAAAAAAAAAAAAAAAAACCTCTTGCAGCAGAGCATGCTTCAGCTGATGAGGTTCTTTCTGAGACTTTCCAATTGGGTCTAGCAATCCTAAGTGTACTTGAGCCAAATATGTTGCACAGCATACTCCGGAGTGCTGCTTGTGACTAAGAATATTTTACCAAAAGTTCCATTGCAGTTTCACTTTTATATTTTTTTAGGGGGGGTTGTTACCGTTGCCATGTGATTAAAAAATAATAAAAAATACTTCTTGCCCAGAAATCCTCATACACCACACAGTATACGACAAAATGAGGGTAAGCTTTTGAGCTTGTGTTTTAAAAAGTAGTGCCGCTACCAAGTTTCCCCCAGACTGTAGTGTCACGTAGGCAGTTCAGCTTGCCACTGTGCCCCGTGGAACCTGCCAATTCCTGTGGATCACGATGCTGGCAAATACTTTCTTGAATGAATTTTTATTGACGTACCGCACATGTAGCAAGCGGTGTGCCATAATAGTCTCACTGCTTGGAGCAGTGTCCCTGCAAGAACATAGGAAAGCTGCCTGTCTTCTGAACTTAGCCTTTTACTTACTGTGATTGTAAGTTGTATTAACATCTTTGTACCTCGTTCTCCTGTCAGTAGAAGGGGAATAGTGTATTTTTATTTAGTTAGGTGCTTTGAAAGACCTCTATTTTTTTATATCATCCAATGAGTAGTCATAGATTAGTCTGCGATTTCTGCGATAAGGCACTATTTTGGGAGGAAAGAATTCTGAAAGAGCTTGGGAGAAGTTACAGTGCATAATCTAAACATAAAGTCTGGGTGCAACGCTGATGTCGGGAGGATTAATATAATCTTCAGACGGGGATATTTAATGTAGATCTTGCCTCCTTACTGGACATGGATACGGTTACTTCTGGTTTGATGTCTTTGGGTTGTATGTAAGCAGTTCAAAAAGGATGATGAACTAGAGACCTCAAAAAAGGCTAGTGAGGCTATTTAAAGGGTTGAACAGCATGCCTGTAATGGGAGTCGAAGTTCTCCATTTCCCTCTTTGGAGAAGGATGATAGGTTGATTTGGTTGATCTATAAAAGCTACAAGGGCAGACAATAAACCTCTGTCTAGTAGCCTCAAAGTCCACTGTTGGAAAGCAGAAATTGAACAAGTCCGTGCCCTTGTTCGGCAACAAGAGGTTCGTTTTTTTCCCATTGCAGACAGTTGTCTGAACAAGTTTCTTTTCTGAAAAGAGATTTATCTCTGTTCTGATTAAAATAATTAACTTGGAGAGTGTCTATAGTATGTGTTTCGCAGGATGTCAGACTAGATGATTGCAGAAAAGACTAAAGACTGGGTAGTGGATGATAAGATAAACAGATTTGTTTAGACAAATTCCTGGTATGTAAAGTGTTGATGAATTTTGTGTCAAGGGACCTGTTAATTTACTAAAGATCCTCAAAACTGGTGTCACTCCAAGGATATAGTCAGTATCACCAAGGTGCTGGGCACGTCTGACATTAGTTCAAGTGGGAAAAATATTCAGCAGGCTTCTCCCCTGAACCAACAGCAAAAAAAATGGTTTTAATTCAGATCACTTTCCCTGTGAACACCAGGGCCTGTGAGATAGCACGGTGGACCGCGCAATGTTGGGTCGCTTCTGACAAAGTAGGCCCTGGTAGATAAGCACTATATGAATCTCAGGCAGAAATGAATTATTTTAATGAATTGACTGAGTCAAATCACTCTCGTTTCCCACTCCCGCTTCTTTAGAGGGGGTGAGGCAACTAACCTTGATGTAACTGTTTACATGGTTCCTATGTTAACATACTGGCTAAACAAACCGAGTCAACGTTGGGCTTTTCCATCTTCAGGCTTACTCTTCATTAGCTACCTGAAACGGAGTACAGCGTGTACTGTTGTATTTCTTTTTAGATTTGTTTCTAAATATTATTTCTTCATAGCAGGATATAATTTTGGTACAAGAGCTGAAGGATTGATGTTTTGAACAGACTGATTTTTATCCTGAAGCAAACAAATGAGTCACAGTTAGCTAGGAAGAGTGAAGCTTGCTCATGTAAAGCAGTCTGTGGTACAAGGTCAGGACGTAGTTCTAGTGAAGGTGGGAAAGCAGGTAGAAAATCAAGTTTCCCAAACCTTTCTTAGTTCTCTTTGATGGAGTGAGCTCTGTTTAAAAAGATCACTGACCGTATGGAGATATACCACTGTCTTGGACAGCCTTCCTGTACTTGAAGGTGAAATTGGTGTTTTTTAGCGACTGTTCCCTGCTGCAGTGTGTTAAATGCGGTTGATTGACACCTGAAAACTGTGGCTGTTCATCAGGGCTTTAAAAATTTTACTTTTTTTTATATATTGTGTGTGGGAGCGTAAGCCATCAGTTTGTGTAAAACTTAAGCTTTCTTCTAGAATATCTGCTCTTTAAAAAAAAAAAGTCAGGTGGGTTCATTGATCTCAAAGGCTGTATATTGTACTCATTTGTCTAGTGAGTAGCTTTAAATTTTGCCCACCAGAATTATTCTAGCAGATTGCTCAGATCGGGTGGGTGTTTCGAGCTTCGTGACACTTGGCTAGTTGTAGTATTTATGGTCGGTCCCAGATAGCTTGGGCAAACTGCATCTGCTCGCCGTGTTTGGGAGCACCTCACCGCTTAAAGACTGCGAACTGTGCATGTTTAACATCTCCATTGCCATCGGAAGACTTCTCTGGTTATTTCTCTTTAAGGACGGTTGCAGAAGGTTCATTTTCCAACAATAACATTTCCTGTTTCAAAATGATCAGAAGTTTCATGCCATACTGAATTGTTCACAAGTTAACTTTACAGGTCTTGTCTGTTTGATGGTACCATTAACGTAGTTGTTTTTTTTAATTACACAGCATTGCAATACAGTGCCATTTTGCAATTTCTTTGCATTGTACTTGAAAATAAGTTGAATTGCAGACTATTTAAAACCGCTTTCCTGCGCTTTCAGTAGCAGTGAGAGCTTACCTTACGTGAAGCCTTTATGTAAAAATATATTTTGTAACAACCTCATAGATCTTTAACAAAACCAAGATTTGTATTAGCTTTGTATAAATGTTTGTGGCTTACAATTTTATATGTTTAACTTTTTATAAACTTTCCAGGGACTACTTTTTATTGTAAATTTTTTTTTTCTCCTTGCTTTAGTTTAAGATTGGCAATAAATTATTTCTAAGGGAGGTCTTAGAAGAAAAAGCATCACTTCCTTTTTATAAAACGGTTAAATTGATTAATAGTTTAAAACCTCTTACACTCGCTTGTACATTGCTCTGTACATACTCTCCAAAAGCATTGCCTTTCAGCTATTAATATTTGCCTTGTGTACAAAAATTACTGACGATGAATAAACGTATACAGCCTCATGTTGGCATTATGAAATGACTTTTTTCAAATGAATGATGTGTAGAGGCAGCCAGCTGACTTTGCTGTTGCGGTAGGTTGGCTAAGGCCGGCTGTTCTCCTGCCACATCTTGTGTTTCAAATGAAGTATGTAACAGAGTTAGTCTCTGGTCTCAAGCACGCTCTTTGCTAAAAGGGCTCATCCAGATCCTCGTTCGCCTGGTTGCTCTCTTGCTAGGAGAGAGGCAAAAGGAAATTGCTGACTTGCATTTGACAACCGGTTTGGAACTCGGTATTTAAAATATTGATGACACTCAGGCGTGTTCCTGCGTAAGCGGCAGGCCTATGTATAAATTATGTATCTCATTATTGCAGAGCTAGACTTACATATTTTTTTTTTAAGCTCTTTTCTAAATAACCCAGCCTCTCCCTCCTCTAGAAAGGGCTCACTGGCTGTTTTGCAGCCGGCTGCGATATGAAGCAATGTTTTGCAGCAAAGCATTGATTTCTTCTTGTCGGTTTTTACGAGCCTGAGATGCTTCATTTTCCACAGCAGCCCTTGGATTTGGCTGGCGTGCTGTGGACACTAAATCTCCAAATACTCATGCTTGTTTATAGAGCTAGTGCTCAACATCAGGATTTGTCTTGATAATCGGAACACAGTAACTGTAAAAATGCTTAGGGTACGTGATGTTGCTGGGGATTAATGGGGACCTGCTGTGGGGAGCGGAGTTCAGTGTGGGAAGGAGCCGCCTCCACTCACTGAAATGTGGAGTTTAAAACCTCTCGGATGACCTGGAACCTCCCCCAGCTCCGCGTGCCGTTCTCATCCCGGGTCCTGCTTGTTCCTAGGCGGGTTGTTTGAGGAATCGCAACCTCAGCTCTTCACTGCTTTTTTGCACTTAAACGATGATGTCAAATGAACACCATCTGTGATGTCCTGACTTGGAAAACCAATCTCTTTAGGGGTTTTTTCCAAAGGTTTTTTTTTTTTTTTTTTGCATCTTATTTCCTGAGAGGCCGTCAGTCACCTGAGGAGTAAAACTAACAACATCTAGAACTCAACAGATCATGTTGGGTTTGTTTTTAAGCCCAATATTACAAGTGGAACGGCACCGAGGTTCACCTAGGCTTCTAGTTAAGCTCTTGTCGACTAAAGCTCTCCTTAGCAATAGTTCCATGGCGGTGCACCGCTCAGCAGTAGCCCCCGGGCTTTGGTCACCTCCCAGCAGGGTGGGGAGAGCCGAAGAAGGGGCAGGGAAGGAGCATGTCCCAGGATTTATGTGAGCAAGTGGAAGTTTTTCTTCACTTTCACAAAGCTCTTGATTTAGCAAAACACCTCATTGCGTGTACCACCGAATGTAGGTTGGGTTTTCGAGCCTCTTCC